TGGTATAGATGAGTGAACTCCTAAGACTTTAACACTATTTGTTTGTAGCCACAGAAATTTAAAATTATGTATATAAAAAAAGGTGCACAACAAGAAATATAATTTTAAAGATACTATTATGCGAGAAATTTATATAATTATTTAGTTAATGATAATTACATTTTTATCAATAATAGTGTTATTAGTTGAGGTGGAACCCTTTTTCAAGAGTTGCAGCCAATAAGCGTTCTCTCAATGTAAGTTCATCAGGATACTCTGGTAGTTTCAAGTAATGGACGCAAGTGTTCACTGATGGGAAGCTACCTGCACCAGCATCAACTTTACGTACCACAGTTAGCCTTGGATATAAATTGGCGAGACCTCCTGGTGGTAATGATGAACAACCCGTAGTAAATTGTAAGAATGATTTACGTTCTTCAGAATTCATTTGTTCCAAAACATTCACCAAACGTAAGAATCCAGGACTAAAATGATATTTTACCATTGTTAATGTCATTAAAAGTTAAAGGTTTAGTAATAAATTTAAGTTTTTAATAATACAATAATTATATGGTTAATAATAAACACAACAATTTTGATGATTCAGAAATTGATTACCCAAGTTTGTGCATTAGTATATTCTACMTAACATAGTTCATTTTAATAAAACTATATTAAGTTAAACGCYTATATGTACTACAATCAGTTATAATTAATTTTAAATATATTTAAACTACATATGCTGGGTTAAGTAAAAAATGAATTAATTTAATGAACAAATCATGCATGAGCCACCGRATCACGTTTAAGGGACTAATAGCTCACTGCTGTTTGTTCAATGTTTAGTGATTGTTCATGCAACCCAAAAATAAAGATTTAATATATATTAATACTTTTTCTAATTTTATACCTTTCTTTATTATATCCTAATTTGGGCTCTGTGTAATTTAATAAATCTTCTCGAGTCCATTCTGGTTCTTGTTGGCCACATAACATTCGTCTAACTTCAAGCGGAGTAAATGCATTTAACTTTTCATTTGAGAATACACGACAAAAACCTGCTTTAAGTGCATCCATTTGTCTCTTGATGCCTGTTTCCAATATAAAATCAGTCAATAAACTAACATACTGCTCTACATTATCCATGTTAACATCATGACTAAGACCCTCATCAACTAAATTAATATAGGTAAATGGAAAGCAGTAAGATGATGGTAAGTAAATCATGCTCAAACTTAGATTTTCTAAGTGCACTTTGCCGGTTTCACCACACTGAAATTGCAAGTTTTTAATTTGTTCGTTTTTATCTTCATCGCTCAATGATTGATCAAGTAAAATTTTTTCTTTTGTCRAAATTAATACTTTCAAATCTTTTATAAACATTGCTTGATCTTCGTCAATGTCAAACAAGTCTGAATCATTCAGAACTCTACCGGATCTAATTAAATAATTGCATCAATTAATATAATTTAAAATTGCATAATGTTATTATTAAGTTATCCCTTACTCATTATTCTTTGCTTTAGTTAAAAGTTTTAGGAATGGCAATGATAATGGAAGATCTATTAAGCGATTATCTTGAAGAACTTTTGCTAGGAACATGCCAAGGAACCAAAAATGTTTTACAACTCTATCACAACAAGGTGAATCTTGAGGTAATGGTGCTGGGTAAAGTCCACCAGGCCGTCTAACATAATAGCCAGGTGGCTTGGATCCTCCTTCAAGCCAAATACATTGACGGGTCTCTTCAGGCATTTCATCATTACACATCCACATGCCTATAAAATTTAAATGTTTATTATTTTTTTTAAATGTGTTTTAATATATTATTAAAATATTCAATACTTACAGAGATCTTTTCGCTGAAACTCGGCAGCGATTAATGAATAAAATTCTAATGTAGGACCTAATCCAGTACCTTCTTCACCCATGAACTCAACCTCCAATACAGTTTGACGATCAATATGAGCACGCATAAGTTGTCTACCCCAAGCAAGTATGTTTTCACCACGCGGTATACGAACACGATCATGTTTTAAACGACCAACTCTGTACTCTTCTTCTCGTCTAAGAGGTAGACTTGAACCAGTGCGATGTCGTTCCACATTCTCTCGTTGAGATTGCAACCATACAATTGATCTTTAACAAATTAATATAAATATATTTTAAATAGGAATTAAAAACACATAAATACTTATACATTTAATTACCTAGATGGCCCAAATGCAGTGCAATTAAAATACAAATGTCTTGTTTCAAATGGAAACAAAAATGAATAAGAAAGATTTAAATGTTCACACCAAGATGGAAGTGCACCTGAACTTAATACCAGAGGATCTTGAATTTGTTGAACAAGTTTGTTAGTCATTTTTTTGCTATTAAATATTTCACTGTTCATCAATTCTCCATCATCTTTAACATGTGCTGAAAATTAGTAAATATTGCAGATTAATAACAAAATCAATTATGGGTAACAAAATTAAAAAGKAGTTAGGTAGATATTTTCCAAATTTCTGGAAGAAAATGTTCTAAAATTTTTCATCTCTAAACACATAATTATAAGCAGGGCTCGAGACTTATAGCACTAAAAAATCATGAAATATGCGCTATTATATGCAC